TATGCCAATTTTAAAACGCCAGACCACAAAATTGTTTTGCATTTCTCTGAGACCTTGGTTTAGTATTTATGTATACTAGTTTAATTATGTATGAAGTCTGCCTCCCACACAACATGTGGTCATGCCACCATGCCCAACACTGAAGAGATGCCCTGTAACTTCAGAATGACAATTTCTCTCAAGAGCTTCACCAGTCGCAGAGCTTCTGATTGCTGCTATCTTGGTGTTAACTAGCATTATTGGAGAACTATTCTTAGGATTTACCTTTGTTAATCATTTCTTTTTCTTGTAATTGCTGCATTATTACCACTTTAATATTTATATTGTTCCTTTCCAATTCTTTGTTATCACTGAGCGCTTTTACCACTGGAAAAAGAGGAGAGACAGTAGAGGCAAATTGTAGGGTATTGGCCAGGTGCAGTGGCATACTCCTGTAATCTCAGCAGCTCAGGATGCTCTGAGACAAGAGGATCATGAGTTCAAAGCTAGCCTCAGCAAAAATGAGGCACTAAGCAACTCAGTGAGACTGCCTCTAAATAAAAATACAAAATAGGGCTGGGGATATGGCTTAATGGTTGAGTGCCCATGAGTTCGTTCTGTGGTATCACCTCCCCCACAAAAAATTATAAAGTCTTATTTTTGTCTGCCCCAAAATTTTAACAAGTATTGCCCCAGATAAACTGTTGAGTCTCACCAAGCTACCTTATTAATGGTGGCCTGAAATTTCCATATGTCCAGAGGCTATCTCTGAGCCTATTTTAAACCATTCTCTTCCTTCTACCTTGAAATTGTCCCTGACTCCAAATCATCACAAATTCCTCCTCTCATAAGTCTTTACTGCGTAACTTGTTAGTGGATCAGAAACAGCTGTGAGATATCTTCAAACACAGAACCGCTGTCTAATTCTTGAATTCTCTCTCTTGGGAAGTAGTTTGACTTTCCATCAAGACTTAGGTATCCTGAGATCAGGGACCAAGTTTTGTATCTATACATCTTAGTACGAAATGAAGAAAGTGCCCAAGGTATAGAAGCATTACAAGGGTTATTTACAAAGCACCTGTGGTCTAATCTCAGGGTTGTGAGGCAGCAGAAATGGACAGAGTCTGTTTGGACACCAGCCCTGAGCTGGTTCCCCAGACCTGTGTCGATGAAGCCTGTTGTGGCATCTGCTGTAGCTATGAGCAAATGAGCTAACAGGACTTATGGGATTTTTGCTAATGCAGCAAATAAGCAGGAGTGTACTTGTTTTTCAGACTTTGCTGCTGGTCCTGCCTCTGCATCTGGCTCTTGAACTTACTTTCGTTTGCTTGCTTGCTTGCTTGCTTGCAGTACCAGGAAATGAACCTAGAGTACTCTATCATTGAGCTATATCCTTAGCCCTTTTAAAATAATTTTTTTGAGACAGGGTCTCACTGAGTTGCTGAGGCTGGCCTCAAAATTGTGATCCTACTTCCTCTGCCTCCCATGTAACTGGGATGCCAGGTGTGTGCCAGCCACCACACCCAGCTCTTGGACTCTTGTGAATCACCATCTGACCACCTGAAATCACAGCCAGTAGAATTGCAAGAATCTATGGTTGAACACCCTGCCTTCCCTGCCCTATGCCACTTCCAGCCTGGTTTGGGGCCCCATTTGGGACACTCATATGTCCCTTGCTATATGCTGTCTCATTCTTTTTTATTTTTTTTTTAGTTTTCGGCGGACACAACATCTTTGTTTGTATGTGGTACTGAGGATCGAACCCGGGCCACACGTATGCCAGGCGAGCACGCTACCGCTTGAGCCACATCCCCAGCCCCAATGCTGTCTCTTTCTTACCTGGTCTGATTCCTGACTGGGTCCAGGTCCTAAGTCCTTTTTCACAAGCTATGATTCCCCATCCCTAATGGGCCTTTATTGGCCTTTCTGGTTCTTGTACTGTAATGTTTTTAGTCAATTTCCATGAACAATCTGGCCATAAAATAAAGCAGGGAACACATCTAAAATCCTGCTTAAAAGGAGACACTGATCTTGACTGGAAGGATATGCTGCTCTGCCTTATATGTCTAAAGATTGTATTAATTATAATGTGGACTTTGATTCTTGAGTCTCATGGTTTTTGGTGTTTGTCAGTATGAACACATTAGACTTACTCTGTCTTCAAACCGATGATCTGTTTGATCAAATAATTGGACAATACAGAGTGAGGGTGAGTGACAACAAAATGGTGGCCCAAGAAGGAGGAAATCAATCTAACCAGTGAGGAGTTAAGTAATGTCTATTCCAGCGTAGCTCTTGCTCATGAGTTCATTAAATCAATGAATGTTACGAACTGTTCTCCCTCTGTGACCATAGACCTATAACCACTGAAATCACAGGTTTGCAGAACAGATGAGTTAGAAGCTTCTACAAGAAATAAAGATCATTTCTTAGCTTAAAACAATGTCTGTACTCATTTGGAATTCAGATCAATTAATCTGACAACTTAGATGTTCACATTCCTGTGAGATTAAGTATAAATAGGTTTCTCAGAGAGGTTTCACATTAGAATTGTTCATGGGGATGTTACAGTTTGGATCTGAAATGTCCCTCAATGGCTCATGTGTTGAAGACTTGCTTCCCAGTTAGTGGCACTACTGAGAGGTGGTGGAAATTTTCGAAGATGGGGACTAGTTGGAGGAAGTAGGTTATGGGAGTAGGAGGTGCCTTTGAAAGGGATATTTTGCACCTCCCTTTCTCAGCCCCTTTGTCTTGTTTTCTTTTTGCTTTCTGGCTGCCAGAGATAAGCAGTTTTGTTCCACCATGCCCTTCCATCATGAATGTTTGCCTCACCACACACCCAAAGCAATGGGGCCAAACAACCATAGATTAAACCTCTAAAACCAGGAGTTTTAATAAATAAATCTTTCCTCCCTTTAAGTTCATTTTCCCAGGTACTTTTTCACAGTGACAAAAAGCTAACACAAGGGAGAAGAAACATTAAAGTCTTCTCTGAGAAAATGAAGTGACAAAAATGTGTACTGGGTACTCTGCTACCTTTTCAATATTTTATTGAGTTGATTTTGTTCTCTGTTTACTGTAACCAAACATCCAAGGCTACTGAATCAACTGCTGCTATGTACCAATGCAAGGTCCTCTCTGAGCTCATTTTTAACAGCCCTTCCTTGAATCTTCAAAGCCAAATTCTTTTGAAACGGGAACTAGGGTTAAATTTAGGTCAACATGGATTTCACAAAAGCAAATCCTTTAAAGTTTGCATTAAAAATTCATGTGTCTAACTAGACAACCTTGTTCGGCTGATGATAATATTACAAAAAGTTAATTTCCCATCTCTAGGCTTTCTCACAAGGAAGTTCTGTAGCTTCATTCCAAATGGATTGGAAGATTTCATCTCAGTTTCACAACACAAGCAGGACTGAGTATGCTTATCATCAGTTTGCTCCATTCTGTCATAAATAATATCAAGTGCATGTAGCTACATGTCAGGTCAGTTCCCGTTCATGTCATTTTGTCCCCATCGAGGTTCCTGGGATTCATTTCTATGGGCATGGATTCCTCTGTTTTTTATTCTTACTCTTTTTTTTTTTTTACATAACTGAACTACAAACCTTAAATACTGTTTTTTTTTTTTAGTTTGACTCAAAATGGCTATTCTTTTTCTCTAGACTACAAAGATATCTTTTTTGCAGAAGTAGCAAATATCCTAGTAAATCCATGCACGTATGACACAAATAACATGGCCACAACCTATTGGATTGTCTCACAGAACATTCAGTTCTTCATTCTGTCTAGAGGAAAAGATATATCAGGGCCTCATCTGCCCTACTGCTTGCCTCTGCCTTCTAGAAGGTCAGAAAATTTCACCCCAACACCAACAGGGAGTGTGTAATCCATCTGAAAGGTGTGATGGGAAGAAGGGGTTGAAGCAGTATAACAAGTAGGTGATAGCATGAACTTTGAGGTCAGAAACCCTTTTTAGGATGTATGATAGATGGAGAACATCAGCTTCTCTAAGACTCATCTCAAGAATTAGGACAATAGTTGGTTATCATGAGGCTTATCAGAAACAATAGATATAGTGCTTTTCACAAAGTATCTGGCACATGGTAAGTGATTAATAAGTGCTTCTAGTGTTCAGCACATTGTAGATGATAAATATTGATTGAATAATTGGGCACGTGGACAAATGAATGAATGACCATTCAGTGAGATAAAAGCCTGTTTTAAGTTCCCAGTATAGATTCCTCTCCTGTAGATGTCTGCTTAAGAAATGGAATAGATTGTGCATGGTTGGGTTTAGTAATGTTAGATAAAGGTACATTTGCTCTCCTCAAGTCTTTTGGAAAAAGAGCAATGATTTGGGTCAATTCTACAATCCTCCTGGTGGCAAGAATTTCTATACCAGTTGACAGGAGCCTGCTTTACAGATAGAGGGTGGGCTGCGCCCCTACCAGGGGGTCATTGTTGAACAGATAAATTGAATTGCCTTATTGGGGGTAGCATGTATAGTTTTAAACCTACACTTGCTCCATCCACAGGAGTTACTACAAGGTACTATCTGCCTTCCACATACCTGGGTTAATTCTCGTCGAGCCCTAAACTCCTATTCTGTGCCCCTTCACACTTCCAGAGTTGTTCATCTCCTTGCTCCTTGGATCTTCTAGCTAAAGGAATAGCCCACTGCTCTTTGTGGTATGTGAGTGGGGAAACTGCAGCATGTGGATGAAAGAGGGCTCCCTGGATCCCAAGACCAAAAGCTCCTTAAATCTATTCCCCAAGCATTTTTCCTCTCCTCACCCTTCCCCAACCCAGAAGGGTGACCAGAAAGGAGCTGGCAGACAAACATCCTCAATTTCTGACTAATTGTAGAATAAGATGAGCCCCAAAGCTTGGCTTTACCAGAAAAATGCACCATAGACATACTAGTCTAAATTGAAGGCTCCTGGTACTTAATAAAATTCCAGGCTTCTTCTGTGCCATTTTATAGTGGTGGTTTTGAGACAAACTAGTTTTTAACTCACCTTTTTCTGCCAACTACTGTTCAGCTTTGGGGACATATTTCAGTTCACTTTTAATATTCTGGATCTCCGATAGGTTGACCGCAGGTCCTGGAAGTTTCTTAGCTCCCAGAATTGGCTTCTTCTCCTCATCTGAGGTGGGAGGAGCTCCCTGAAGGAAAATGAGAAGATATTCAACTCCCTAGAAAAGATATTTGATCCTTCTCTGGCTCATGGACATAAACCAGGAAAAAAAAATAAAGCAAGAATGTCAGATTGTGATTCTAGCAGAGTTACTTTCTCTTGCATTGTTAAGACAGCCTCAGTTCCAATAAGATCTAGAGTTTAGTAAAATAAATCTGGAAGAACAAAATAAGTAACTTTAGTGTATGGCTGGCTCTAATGATGACGTAGTTCAGGAATTTTCAAGGTTTTATTTGAGGTGCTGTGGCTGCCAGTCTTTGGTCCCACGACATCTTTGAAAAGTATAAACAAAAGGACATAAGGGAAACCACTTTGAATAAGGATAGGGTGTGAGGGGCCAATAGAGGAGACCCAGCCTTCTCCTCCTGCTTTGAAAGTATTTTAAATTTCCTATCATGATCTGTTGTTATGTTTTTGTTGCAGCTTTAGGGCAATATCTACATCCTGTCCTTTTTATGGCTCTTCCAATGCCCAGTTACAGATACGCACAAGCATACTTGATGATTGCTGATTAATTCGTTAATCTTGAGAATGTACCATAGTGACAAATCCACACCTCTATGTACATATACCCAACACACATACAACAGTGACTATAAGATAATAAGATCAGCTGCTGTGTATGGCTCCAACTCATTACTACAGAAGAAAGTTGCTTCTTAGTACATTCTTTCTATTTGCTACAGGTGGGGGAACACAGTCTCCAAGGGCCTGGGAAGAAGCTATTTAAGAGAACATTTGATCACCTTGGCAGCCTTGAGAACATGCCTCCTATCAGTTTACTGCAGGGAGGGTACTCGAATGACAGTCCCAGCTGCTTCGCCCTGAAATCCATCCATCACCAGCTGAGGTCACGCTTCCCACGGCTGCTTGTAACCAATGACTGAGTGTGACAGGAATCCTAAGGCAGGTCTATTCCTGAGAGACACATGACACTTCAACAGAGCAGCTCTGGCTGGAGAATTGACCTTAGAGCAGCCTGGAAGTCTGAATTGCTTCCGCAGATCCACCCCCCTCCATCCTTCTCACCTTCCCCTGCAGTGTGGTCTGACTGGTGCTCTGACAGCCTCCCGCCACTCCCTCCCACTTTTCCTTACAAGTAGTTTCCTCAATAAATATTTTGCACATCTAATCCCATCCTTGAGCCTGCTTCTTGGAGGACACAAACTAACATGGTCTCAAATGTGAGACTGGCAGAATTCCACTTTGGGGGCCAATACCTGGGTGAATTAATACAATTCCAAGGGGAAAAGAATAAGAAACTGAATGTCGGCCTTCTGTGAAGTCCTAGGCCCTCCAGCCTAACTTGGCAGCCCTGTCATTGGGATGATGCTGATGCCATGTGTTAGTCCCTGCCAGCTCCTATGCCTAGTTCTCAGATTGGTTAGAACTTGAAGAACATTTTCAAGCTTCTCCAAACCCTGACAAATTACTTGGAAGACATTTCTTTTATAGACACATTTTTAAATTGCTTATTAGAGGGAATGAGTAGACACATAAAATATTGAGGTGATGTTCTTCTACTAAGGACTAATGGCTTTTCCTATAGTCATTTTCTCTGAATCTGGTATAGTACTGATGAAATGGCTAACATGTCACCCACATGAAATGATAAAGTAAGTCAATGTAGACTATACCTGCTGTAAATATCTGGAAGATACCGTTTCTGCAGGTCAACGTACAGAGCCATAGGATTGGCTGCTTTTCCTTACACACACACACATTCATCATTTATAAATGTAGATATAGAAGCAGTAATTAAAGCTGTAAAACATCTACTTAGATGACTAGGTATTCCAAAATGTTCTTTGTTGGGCTTCCAGGAGGGACTTTTTAACAAGAATATAAAGTATTGCTTTTTTTTTAATATGTGTAGCAGTGAAATGAAAAATGTTTCCTCACTTATAAATGTTCCCATGGTTGTTAGGTGGGTAGATCTTAATAAAGAAGCCTGAAGGAGAAAAATGTTTCCAATTCCTTCTGTTAAGTTCCCCAGTAAGTCATATCTTTGTAACATCAAAATGTGCTCCATTGGCACATTTAACACATTATATCTATCTCTGAACTTATGTGTCAATGTACAAAGATTTATGTGAATATATGCAGATGAATAATGGTAATATTTCATAGTGGGCATCTTCTTTTCAAGTTATTAAAACCTCAGTGCACTGTGTTTTTGTTGTTTTTTTTTTAATCAAGGTAAGACTTTTAGTGTTTGATTTGGAGAGGTGAGATATAATGGAAAATTATATTTAATAATTTGACATTATGATATTGACTCAGGAAGGGGGTTAATAGTGGTGCATTTTTTAAAACTGAATCTTCTCTCATCTTTTAAAAACTTAATGAAATACAATTCTATTTCTTCCACGAATTTGTTGTTATAAGGATTACAGTAAATTAAAGCATGAACAAGCTGAGTTCCAGATGGCCTCATTTGGCTAATTAAGTACATTCTTTTTGTTTCTTTTTCATAAATAGATATTTGAACTGAGAAGGGACATGGAGGACATTCTTTGGTTCAGATGAAGAAAGGATGGGAGAAGCCTTATAGACCACAGACACATTCCCAGTTTTAGGAGTGACTGTTGGGAAGGAAAATGCTTGTTTTGGAAGTCACAGAGTATTTGTAAAGGTTAGCAAAACAGTGAAGCATTTTCCAGCTCACTTGCTTTCATATTCCTCTTTGCTACCAGATACTTTACTGAGTTCTCCCCCGAGCTCTCCTATGTGGGGTGACAGTCTACTGTTCACTCATGCCCAAGCACTGAAGACTTAACAATAACAGCAAACACTACTAGCTGTTCTAAGTTACACATACTTGCTCATTGAACCCTCATACCAGCCCTATAAATCTGGCACTACTCTTACCTTACTCACAAGACTTAAGCACAGGAGAGCTGAGAAACTTGCTTAAGATCACACAGCTAAGAAGTAGCTGAACCAGAATTAAATAATATGTTCACATTTTGAAGAGACCTGATGGAAAGGGAAATATTTAACAGAAAATCCCAACATGCTATTTTGTGGCTTGATGACATTTTGATCAAAAGAGAGATTTGTGGGGGCTGGGGATGTGGCTGAAGCGGTAATGCGCTTGCCTGGCATGCGTGGGATGCTGGGTTTGATCCTCAGCACCACATAAAAATAAAATAAAGATGTTGTGTCCACCGAAAAGTGAAAAGTACATATTAAAAAAAATTCTCTCTCTTGGTGGAGGCTTGTCAATACCTTTCCAATCACTTTAAGCCAGCAGCTGCTTGTCATGCAAAAGACCAGGCCTGCCTATGAGGATTTGACTATGAGGTTCCTGTGCCAGGCAAATGCCAATGACTGACAGGCCAAGCACACATAGGGTGCACTCTACCTGGGGAAGCAAAGCAAAGGGCTTGCCAGAGGCCACAGGTGGACCAGAGATAACCAGTGTTCACAGGCTTGTGAGGCTGCCAAAGATTCATTGGATTTCTGCTGGGGTGCATCTTCTTCTTCACATCTGAGAGGGTATCAGGATCAAAAACTCTTCTGAGTTTACATGGAGAGCCTACTGACTGTGACAGAGATATTATGTTAAGATCCCCATGTTATACCAAAATTCTCTTAAGGCAAGGCTAAGCAATGAGTCCCAAATCTATGGAAGTAAGCAATTCTGTTTCCAAACTTAGATAGTAGTATTAAATATGAATGTGGAAATTATTTTGACTTCAGATTCTATTTTCCCAAACTATGCCACAAATGGCAACTGGGACTTACCACACAGAATCCTACTTAACCTACCTTGTACCCAAGCCAAACTGCCCAACCACTCCCCTTAAAATATTGTTTCTGTGAAAAACTAATTCTGTGATCCAGGCCAGAGCTTGAAGCAGGAGAGCCCACTCCTCTGGAAAACCCACCAGTCCTCACAGTTCATTCCTGCTTGTGTGATAAGGGAGCTCCCCAGCTCTACTTTCCTCTTGCCCACTGAGCCCTGTGAAGAAGTGTGGCACCATTGAAGAAATACTCCTGGGGTCTCTGGATCTCTGTGGATACCTTACTTACTCTATCATGTAAAGAATATTAGTTGGCTACTTGTATATGTGGCTGGTTATAAAGTATATATTAATAAACTAGAATGTATCCATTCTTGATTATTTTAGAATGTGCTGGAAACCTCATATTGGGGGCAAAGCAAGAGTGAGAGCAAAGTGCTTCCCTAGCCCCCTCAGTGATACACTTGTGTGGAAGAAAGTACCAGTTGTATAGAGAAGAATCAAGGACCATCTGTACCACAGAGAAGAAGTAAGACGGAGCCTCCAAAGCAACTGTTACATCAGTCAATTTAATGAGAAAGAAGGTCAAGCTACCTTCTGATTAATTGCCACCATAGTGACAGAAACAGCTTAAGAGGAAACATGAGAAGAAAATCTAATGACAACAGGCATAGGAAAAATTCCACTGCCTTCCATTTTACCTTCCCATGGCTCTTTCTCACAACATGCAAAACAGTAAGTCCAGGGGTCTCTCATGAAAATTGGACAATTAGATCAACTGATGAATAATCATTTATCAGATACCTACTAGACTATGCCATATCCATTATATCACAGATTATTTTATCACAGCAACACTCTGAAGAATGGAGGACATACAATTTGAGGCACACTCTCAAGTACTTGACTCAGATCCTGGATGGAGAATTCATGAGTTAACTGGAAGGCAAGTTAGAGAACTAGAACTTAGGGTTATATAACCATTGAAAAGCAGGGTAGAGGGCTAGGGTTATGGCTAAACGGTAGTGCACTTGCCTGGTGTGCATGAGGCACTGGGTTCAAGTCTCAGCACCACATATAAATAGATAAATAAAGGTCAATTCACAAATATTTTTTAAAAAAAGAAAAAGAAAAGAAAAGCAAGGTAGGGTCAGGTCTTTTAAACTTGCATATTCAACAATTTTATTCATCAAAGGTAACTTAGTAGCTGAAATTCCAGAACTTGATGACATCACTTAAATAGTTCATTTCTTTCTCTCAAGAATTATCTATTGATGGGAGGCTGGAACCACTGACCCAGGACCACATCAAGAATAGTCACAGGGCTGGGGTTGTAGCTCAGTGGTTGAGCACTTGCCTTGCACATGTGAGGCACTGGCTTTGATCTTCAGCACCACATAAAATAAATAAATAAATAAATAAATAAATATATTGTGTCCATGTACAACTAAAAATATATTTTAAAAAAAGAATAGTCACAGGAGGGATGGGGTCGAGGCTCAGTGATAGAGCACTTGCCTAGCACATGTGAGGCACTGAATTCTATCCTTAGTACCACATTAATAAAATAAAATAAAGTTTAGGGGCTGGGGTTGTAACTCAGTCGTAGAGTGCTTGCCTAGCATGTGTGAGGCACTGGATTCGAGTCTCAGCACCACATATAAGCAAATAAATAAATAATCCATCAATAACTAATAAAAATTTTAAAAATAAAGTTTAAAAAATAGTCACAGGAGAAAAGATTAGATACAGGATAAAATCTTGTTAGTAACCATAATATGGTGATAGATGTTGTTGGGGGGAAATACCAAAAATGTCACTGAAAAAGTAAAAAAGCCTTTTTACTTTTATCACAAGATAAAATACAGTTTTGTGTGCATTTTGGCTTTATTTAATTCCATTTTTCTTGTCTTGTGCTAATAAAATGCTTCAAAATCTTAATTTTTACCTCAGAATCAGATCTTCCTTCCAGGTTTCAGCAGAAAAGTCACATGTGAATAAAAAAACAAAAACTTCTGAAAACTCTTTGCTACTTATTGCATAATGTAAGCCTTCATTTTAGCAAACCAGGTACTTGAATTTGGGGAAGAAAAATTAGAGGGAGAAAAAAAAGTAGAAATGGAGTTTTGATAGACTCCTTTGCAAAGTTGTCTTCAAAGGAAACATCCAGAGGTCATGGTGATTGTTCAAATCCACAAGTGATTCAATGTGCATACTTCCAGAACTCCAATTTGTATTCAGCACACATCAGAAGCTGTCTTAAATACATCCTATTCAGATTGATAAAGGTTTCCAAGTGAAACCTAGCTAACAAATTACTAGTAACTATCACTAAACTAAAAGCAACTGAGAGGCTATGTCCTCCCTGACACACATAAAATCAATGAACAACAGGAAGCTCAGTATCCTCAAGAAACTGTGCCAGGGACTTGGTTGAAGAAATGAGAGGGACAGAGTTTCCTAGCTGAATAACCAAGACAACTACATAAATCTGCATATTATATATTGATTCCCTGATGCACATTTATTTCCCCTCCCTTGTCCTGCTGCCCCACCTGGCCTCTGCTCTCCTTCAGGGAGGATTTTGGAGGAGACAGACCTTGCTAAGCTCTACTAGCTAAGTTTTCCTCACCTCCTCGGTTTCAGGAGTACATTCTTTTCTTCTGGGGGGTTGCCCAGCTCCTGGCCGAAAGGCTCCCATTGGAATATTGATATTTGCCTAAAAGAGAAAATGGTGTAGATTTAGCTCGAGAAATGTATGAAATTGCAATGATACTCTGAGACAGCAATCATTGTGAGAAAAAATGTGTCTGAAAAGTACATCTTCAAAGCTTTTTATCTCAGGAAAATTGCTGTAATGACAGCACAAAATATGCAAAGGAAAATTTGACTTCCATTTGTTACAGATTTCTGGTATTCATCCTTATATCTGAGCAGCGATTTTACAATTCCTTATTGGGTGGAAGAATTTGAAGACAGTTTGTTCTCGCTATTGCCCTCCTGTGGTGCATATTATCTCTGTCAGGGATAAGGAAGAAACACAGAACCGTAGGACAGAAGGAAAGCATCTGCAAAAGCCACCCCATGCCCTTGCCTTCCTTCAGGTCCCTTCAGATTTACCAAGGAATGGGGGACATTCACACCTCCTATGCTGCTGTTCCCTTCTTTACATAACATCCTGCCATATTTCAGCATTGCCTTAGGCCTCTGGAATTGACCTTCAATCCTCTTCCCAACACACTCTTCTGTGTCAGTAAGGAATAAGCAGAATGTTGAAAAGACAAGTTCCCTTTGTATTATAACTCACCGATTCTTATTCTTTATTAAGACAACATATTAATCTCCATCAGTGGAGAACACAAAATACCATCTACTTAATATGAAATGTTCCAAAAATTAAATTATGTAATGTCATGTTGACATAGTAATTTGAACTTGGGAAGAGAATACATAAATTTGAATTTTGCCCATATTTTATCTGATATCAAAAGGTGAAAACACCCAGGCATAGTGGCACGTGCCTGTAATCCCAGCAGCTCAGGAGGGTGAGGCAGGAGGATCAAGAGTTCAAAGCCAGCCTCAGCAACTTAGCAAGGCACTAAGCAACTCATTGAGACCCTATCTCTAAATAAAATACAAAAAAGGGCTGGGGGTGTGGTCAGTGGTTGAGTGCCCCTGAGTTCAATCCCTGGTACCAAAAAAAAAAAAAGAAAAAGAAGGGTGAAGACATATAATAGAGACCTAAAATGTCTTCAACCAATAGTAGCACTCACATAAAACATTCATTAAACACTTTTTTTAAAAAAAAGTACAACACATTTTTTCCACTATAGATAAAAGTGTTGCTTTATGAGTAATGGGATATGTGGGTTTGAAAAGTTGAAGTTTCATCTTGTTTTGAGTGACAATGATGCCTGAGCAAAGGCATCATTTTATTATAACACAGATTGGACCAAATGAAATTATTGTGAAATGTAATAATGTCCATTTGGAAGCACCTGGTATAAGCTGTCACCAGGGGAATGACACCCATGACAAGTGGTATCCACTGTCCATGTTCATTCAGCACGGACAACAGGAAGTAACTTTTCCCATCTAGGGGCTTTAAAACTTCCCTTCTTACTAGAATAATGATGATTCTACAGAAAAGAAATCAATCAAGAGTATTTATAGTGGAAAAAAAAAACAGAGGTACATCATTGTGGTGCCATCACTAGAGCCAGCAAGCCAGGAAGTATTTTTGATTAATATGTCCTATAAGACAGATAAGATAGAGGGAAAGATAGGTCTTAAATAGTTGAAAATATGGAGCCATACTTTGTGAACTCCAAGATGTATTTTTTTAATATATTTGAAATCATAATGTGTCTTACAGCTAGTGATATCTTATACTTTTTTTTTTGAGACACAGTCTTACTGTATTACCAGGCTGGCCTCAAATTCCTGAGCTCAAGCAGTTCTCCAACCTCAACTCCCAAGAGACTGGGATTACAGACATAGGACACTACGTCCATTTGTATCTTATAATTTTAATTGGCAAATTTTCTTTATTTCTGGGCAAGACATAAAATAATAGTATTAGCTGGGGTTGTAGCTCAGTGGTAGGGCCCACTTAACATGCATGAGGCCCTGGATTCCATCTCCATCACCACCAAAAACAAGAAAATAAAATAAAATAATGGTATTTTACAACTGACAGTGTTTAGATTGGAAGACATATCATAGGGACCTGAAGTAAGAAGATCAAAACAATATAAATAAGACTCATAGAAGATGATACATAATTGAGTCAATAGACTATTTCCAGTAGTACAGTCTGGATGAAAGAGGGAGATAGTCAATAAGGGTTATATGGGAGAAGGTTAATCAATTAAAAGTTTAGTGAGATCACCCCATCCCAACCCATTTATTAAGAATCTACATACAGGGGGAATCTTCCTAATAGCCAGGTCAGATTATCATATTGTTTCTAAAAGACTTAATAGTTAAACTAACCTATTTACTCAAGTATGTATGTTCTATAGTTCATTGTGGCTTTCAGTAAAAAAAAAAAATGCAAAAGTCATCCACAATAATGTAATAGATAAAGCACATGCTATGGGCCCACCCGCTTTTCCCATTTGGGGATTAATTGTAGAAATTCAAGTAGCCTCTCCATGGGTCATGTGTGGTTTACAATAGTGAAAAGAGGGGCTGGGGATGTGGCTCAAGCGGTAACACACTCACTTGACATGCACAGGGCGCTGGGTGCAATCCTCAGCACCACATAAAATAAAGATGTTGTGTCCACCGAAAACTGAAAAATAAATATTAAAAAAATTCTCTCTCTCTTTTCTCTCTCTCTCTCTTTAAAAAAAAAAATAGTGAAAAGAGCCCAGTTCTAGGAGTTGCTAACAGATTCTCAGTACTTGAAAAAGTGATAGCTGCTCTGTCCCCACTTGTGATATGAATATTAGGCTACAGCAGGGTTTTTCAAACCTCTTAACCATGGAATCCTTCCCTCAATTAAGGAATTCTAAGGATATCTAATGCAAAGTCTGAGGAGATGGAGGTTTGAACACCTACATTCTCACAAGTATTCTGAGGTTGATATAATCATCTTTGTTTTACTGATAAAGAAACTGAGTTAGATAATTTGTACAAGGTCACACAATTAACACAAGCAAGTGGGCATGCTGGCACAAAATGTCTGTAATCCCAGCCACTCAGGAAGCTGAGTCAGGAGGACCCCAAATTCCAGACCAGCCTGGGCAACTTTGCAAGACTGTCTCAAAATAAAAAGGACTGGGGATGTAGCTCAGTGGTAGAGCACCCCTGTGTTCAATCCTGACCGCCCCTCTCCCCAAAAAAGACTACAAGCAAAAGCCAGGATTCTAAATCAAAGCTGTCTAACTGTAAAATCAGACCTTTATACTCTACCAAACCATTCTCCAAAGAGTTCTTTTCACTTGGCTGAAGTTAGCTGTAACCTGCTCTGAAATTACAGACTTATATTTTGAGAAAGGCCTTTGAAAAGGGGCATACAGAATAGATAATTCCAGAATATCTGCCAAAGAAAAGCCACTTTGAAAAATGAGCCATTAACTTACTGACTTGACACTTTTTCTTCTTTAAAGCATCACTCACATCAGGAACCTAAATGGCTTTTTATGACAGCAAATATTGACAGGAATGAAAGCAGCCTGAAAACATGTGGAACATCCAATCATTCATGTGCACCAATGAGGGAGTGTAAAAGGAATGCTTTGTCAACGGTGGCATGCATTACACTAGTAATAAGATGATTAGAGATGTTTCATTAATATAATTGTAGGGCAGTGATACTTGAATGACAAATTATAGACTAAATTATACACATAAAGAAAATTCCTTTAACTTGAATTTGATAGGAAAATGTAGATGTGTAGATCTCTGTTTTTATTCCATTGGCCAGAGAATTGGGTCATATTCTTGTCTTTTTCACTGACTTGCTCCAGTTTGTTTGAAATACTAGGAATGGAAACCAGAGCCTTGAACGTGCTGGGCAAGCACTGTACCACTGAGCTACATACATCCCCAGGGCTTTCTCTGTGATTGAATACAAATGAAATATCTTTTCAATCCTTCACTCTTTCCCCCTGCAAATTGAGTATGGCATTGGCCATTGAAAATGAGTTTGGAATATAAGCTTCTATCTATCTGTCTATCTATCTATCTATCTATCTGTCTATCTATCTATCTATTTTTGGAACTGGAGAGTTAACCCAGGGGTACTTAACCACTGAGCCATATCCCCAGCCCTTTTTTAATTTTTTTATTTAGAGACAGGTTCTCACTAAGTTTCTTAGGGCCTTTCTAAGTCACTGAGGCTGGCTTTGAACTTGCCATCCTCCTGCCTCAGCCTCCGAGACACTGGGATTACAGGCTTGTGCCACCACACCTGGCTATAAGCTATTTTTAAAATGAAAGAATAAACACAGAAAAGGCTTAACATTAATGACCAAAGTCATTAATGTACAAAGTCATTAATGTTAAGTTGGAGTTTTTTTTGCTATATAGATTCTGTATAAATGTGAAGGAAGCAGGTTCTTGGTTTTTTTTTTTTTTTCCTCCCTTTGGTAATGCAACCCTATCTAATTCCTTTCTCTCCTTGAGGTTTACTCATATTAGATATTTTTAAATGTGCTCCCCTTCAACAGACCAGGTACATCATTTTCCCAAGCTATACATAATTTGTTACATCCTCCAAGTTGGGAATGGAAAAAATCTACTAGATCATCTTTTGCCAGTACAGGATACAGTTCCCTGATAGAAGACCTATCTGATGTGAAATGAATACTACATTTGATCTCACCAGATGAAGAAAAGTAGAAAGAATTCCCTGTAAGTTAATTCCACCACTCCCTTAATTATTTGTATTGTTCTCTTTACTTGACTCCAGGCTTTGAGCCAGGAGGATTCTGGAAACAATATTCCCTTCACAGTCACTCCACTGGGGTTTACAATGGAATGACATCTTCTTTCCCCAGGGGGTTGGATTCTGATAGCTGCTGGCCCCTGGGTGCTGACAATTCCTATTGAACTTTACTTTCCATAGTCATTGTTCTCCCATCTCCTCCTCTCTTTTTGTCTCTCTTTTCTGAACCTACTGTGTTGCATATTTGTTTCTAATGACCCCCCACTGATTCATCTTTAGTTTTCAAAGATTCCCATCAGCTCCTGCCAGGATCCAAAAGTCAT